TCATCATCATCATCATCATCATCATCATCATCATCATCATCATCATCATCCTCATCATCCTCATCATCCTCATCATCATCTCAACATCAACAACATTGAGTGTCAGATCTGAAACATTAATCTACGATCATAGTCACCATTTATTTCTTTGCTCCAATGTTCTTTAACCCCCCCCCCCCATATTAACCTTGCCTCTCCTTGTCACCCATCTTTTCAGGTTTTCCAAGTAAGCTGCTCGTTTACCCACCATTTTTCCAGTGAGAGCAGGATGTTCAAAGCCTTTGTATCGCCATAAGTGTCCCAAAACTGCTTGTCTCTCTTTCTGCTCACCATAATGCAGGGTTGAATAAAGATGATCAAGCACTTGAGACCTCACCGAGCATGTTTCGGTACAGTTTACTCGCCCCCGAAAAAACGTTTTTTACAATGTTTCTGCAATGTCATCCACCCCGAAGTATTTCCACCAAAAAAAAAAGATTCTCGACCGAGTTACGTCAAAAACGGAATCTCATTCGGAGGGAGCGTCTGATTTACAGGTATGTTGTGAAAAGTGGGGTAAAGTTCCTTTTGTCCATATTGATTGAATCCCATTCCTTTAAATTCGGCTGGGATTTTTGTTTGTTCATGTTTGGGTTTTTGTTGTTGTTTTTTGGGGGGGCGGGGGATGGCTTTGTGTTGTTTGTTGGGGTTGTTGTTGTTTTGTTGTTTGTTTGTTGTTGTTGTTGGGGTTGTTTTTTTTGGGGGGGTGGGGGAATGGGGTTTTTTTTAGGGATGGAGGTTGGGCGGGGGGTCCCCATGTTAGAGCTGCTAGCATTGATATAATATACAGTGGCGTCCAAAAGAAATTGGAAAATGTAATCACCCAACCATTTGTGTTTAAGCCTTTCACTACCCTTTCGTGCAGCATATATCTACCAATTTAAAGCTTAATAAATTCTGCAACACCTAGTACATTAATGGTGTTTCATCTACGTTAAGAGACGCTCGAGATATGTGTGTGCGTGCCTGAAGATAGGTCCCAGTTGTCGGAAATTTGGGATATTGACACAAGGGCGTATTCTTGTAGCAAATTCAGTGCTGAACACCCTGATTTTAAAAAAAATTCAAATATCTTGAATAGTTTTATATGCCACATTTTGTAACACAGGGAGTAAAAACAAAGCTTAGAGAAAAACCAATTTCTGGCACATTTATAACCTTTGGTGAAAATACGACATGTTGCATAAATGACTAATAAAAATATTCAGACTTAAAATATATAAAATCCTTTCAATGTGTTATTAAGAAATTGTTATACGCGTGTTTTCTGAAGGAACTAAATTTTTGATCAGGGACAACTTTTGAGCCTTTCCCCCTGTTGTTTAAAAAAAGCTTTGCCGACAATTTGGGAACCTTCTCCAGGCCCTCACACATATGGTCACTCAAAATTGACCTTTAAAAGATCAGGCTTGGCAAAATAATTGTGCGAAATCAAAGAAAGAAATATAAAAGTGTGTATTATTTTGCGTATCGTCTTTGTCCAGTGCTTTTCTTTTAGGACCCTTATCATTGACCGATGTAGTCTATTCCATCTCAGGAATGACCGTTATACTCGGTGCTTACTGCCAATCGAATTCAGTCGAAATTTTGCCCCTCGATAGAGAGAACAACCTCGCTGGTCTCATTTTAGTTTCAGTAGAGTATTTACGGCGCTCACCTCTCTAGCTTCAATAGCACTAAGTCTTCTTCGACTATCAAGGCACCCTGGAAATAGCGGGTCACAAGTGTGTGACAAACATACAAAAGAAGTAGAGGGAAAATGATGATAGTAAGGATTAGGAAAGAAATAGCAGCTGCAGTTCCCCGTTGCAGTTCAGGCACAGTTATGAGCAGGACATTAATGAATGAGCCCATTTCTACTGTATATAAGAACATTTTAATGCCCCCCCCCCCCTCCCTTCTGGATATGGCCTAAAGACACTTCAGTCAGTAGCACCGCCCCGGGTGTAGGCTGGTCTCGATTCAATTCAACTGGACTCCTTTGACAGAATTTTTGCCTCTCCATGAAGGAAAATCTGGCTGACCCCGACCCAATTCGACTGAATTCGGTTGAATTCGATTGGCAGTCTGCACTGGGTGTTTTGTATCCAGTAGGCCTAGAAGGCCACGGGTGTTAAACTCAATCACTCAGCACTCAGCGGGCCAAGCTCAAATTTCAATTACACTTAATTAAGGATGCAGGGGCCGAATTGTATAAACTCACTGAACAGTGGGAAACTTCTAAACCTCATTTAAACAATGGTATGAATTAAAATGGACGGGAGTTATTTTGTTTGTCTGTTTGAGTAAAAAGAAGCATATCGACACAATAATGGTCATTTAGTGCTGGGGAAAAAGTAAAACAGACAGACAGACAGACAGGCAGAAAAAAACAAAGGGAAAGTAGTAGGACCTACCAACAGTGCCTTCCAACCACCCGCAACAAACGTTATAACTATTACAAATGAAATCAAGGTATAAATCAATTTTAACTCATATGCGATTTTGTGAGAGCTGGATAATGTTTGTCATAATTTCTTGGCAACAAGCTCATTGCGTTTGGAGAAAAGTTCTGAGCAATAGGGATTCTCAGAATGATTTTTCTAAGATATTCTCTTGCAAGCCGGATATTATGATTAGACTCAACATGACGTGTATTTACCGAGCCGGATGCGGCTAACAGGCCTTGGGTTTAACCTCTGTACATGAGGTCAACGTGGGACGCTCAATATTGAAAACAATCAGGAAACGACAAATGCAGTTTTTGGGACACCTGAATAGACATAGGGTCTTGAACATCTAGCTCTCATTGGCAAAATTGAAGGCAAACAAGGCAGGGGTAGGCCCAGAACAACATACTTAGGGAACCTAAACAAATTGGTGACAGGGAAAGATCAGGGAAACGTAGCTTTTTTAGAGCATCCGAGCAAAGGAATGAATGGAGAACCATGATCGCCGATGTCTGTCGCAGATCTGGCACTGGATGATAATGACATGAGAATATGCTTCCTGTGAAGCCCAGAATGTTAAATTTTGAGTGTCCCAGGGTTTTCTGGAACGATAATGATTGTAAAGCGCATAGAGAATGCTGTAGAGCATTGTTTTCTTCTTCTTCTGTAAGCTTCCGCCGAAGCCTAGAATGTTTCTGAGTGTTCTCAGAGCATCAGAGGGTCTGCTGGGGTAATAATAGTTGTAAAGCGCATAGAGGATGCTCTTGAGCATGGATATGCGCTATATAAATGCAATAATAATAATTATTATTATTATTATTATTATTATTATTATTATTATTATTATTATTATTATTATTATTATTATTCTCATCGTCATCATATCATCATCATCATCATCATCATATTAAAGGGTGTTTGTCTCGATGACTATTATCTCCCTGTCCGACCTAACCAAATTCTCAAGTTCTGAACTCGCCAGAAAGCAGAACAGAGAAATATCTGGGAGAGGAAAGAGGTCCGCAGTTTCAACTGAATTTATCTAGGCCTCGACATTTATCTACCGTGAAGCATTAGGCTTGGCCTGCACTAACATAGACCGGTTCCCTGTCGTTGCATCCTGTTACACAGGTCGCAAACGGCGGTCGGACGCTTTCGCTCGTCCCAGGTCACATGCGCGCGCACCGATAAACTGACCTCTTTTCATTTCGAGAACTTCCAAACGCCACCGGCAAACCGTACATATATAAGGAACGACACGTACCAGTCTTGTGTATGTGCTGTATACCTGCTGCGTACCGGTAAACGTAAAGACGTGAATAACAAATACTCGTCTCTGACATTAAAGTATTTCTTTCTGCTTGAATCCAACTGTCCACGAAAGAAGTAGCGGCATAATGGCTGAGAAACCAAGAATTGGATACTGGGATATTAGAGGGGTAAGTGATTATGTTCTAACCTAAAGATAGTTGGTTCTACCACGTTGAGATGAACATGCATTTGATTCTATTAAATTAAAGATAACAGATATTCTGGATTGTTTTCTCAAAATTTTAATACGCTCTTGTTCTGACGTTAATAGGCTTTGATGGAAAATGGTCTTTTTCTGTTAGGTGGTTCAGTGGTACGTGTATTGTTCCGATTGTCACCGGCTTCTGTGGTGTAGTGGCTATAACCTTCACTGTCGTACGCAAGGGATCCGAGTTCGATTCCCGTGTCGTGTGGGAAGACTGGGGCGTTGTGTCTGGGTCGGGTTGGCCCTTTCAGGCAGGGTCGAAGCCGGTCTCCCAATTAATCTAAATGTAAGGCAGCGTGGTTGAATCAGGCTCTCGCCAATTTTTAGACATGTAGAGCTATTGGTATCATCTTAAAGCTTGTTCACTTGTCTTTATTTTGATGAAAAAAATATCCATTTATGTTTAATACAAGTCGAGATATTTGCAAAAGAAGGAGGTGGGGGTCACCTGTTTCCGGGGGTAAAATTAGTGAGAAAATGGCCCCCAAAGATTAGTTATTTCCTTAGCTTAACAGTCCGTGGTAACTGAAAATTTACATTTTATGTGCCTTTAATCAACGTCTTCCAGAAAAATCCACTCAGAAATTAGTTCTTTAATGGGCATGAAAGGTGTTGAGCCGAAAAACAAAAATTTGATAAAAGTTCACAAACCTGCGGAAAAATGCAAGTTTCTATACTTTGATTATTTTGACGAGAGCCTGATTCTACCGCGCTGCCTCACATTTAATAGTGCCGAAGAGGGCGTAAAAGCCTGCATTTTAAGAAATATACATTATTTTTCCAGTTTTTCTTGCCCGTGTTTTCTATTTATAACATACAATGTGTTCATTACAAAGATACGAAGTGGTTTGTAACGACTTGAGTGTCTTTCGAGGCATTGACAGGGTTTGAGCGCACGACACGAAATGGCATCGAAACAAAGACGACACCGAGACGAAATGCATCACATTTGTTTAATTCAGCAATGACCCTGCACGCTGGCCTATACCATACCTGTCCTACCACTGGCCCGTTTGGCTCCAAATAGAATATGCTTAGTGTGCATTTGCATTGCTTTATAACCAGTAGATGTTAGTTGCATAATGTAGCCTATATGATTATCATTAAAAGGCTTGATTATCCATAAGGCATTTGTTCTATGTTTGGTATATTGTAACATTCAATCTATCTTACACATGCCTTCACTCGTCTACTTACACATGGTCTATCTGGCTCTCTCTTTGTCTCTCTCTTTCTCCTTCTCTCTCTCTCTCTCTCTCTCCTTCTCTCTCTCTCTCCCTCCCTCTCTCTCTCTCTCTCTCTCTCTCTCTCTCTCTCACACATACACACACACGCACACACACACACACACACACACACGCTATACACACCCACATACCCACACACGTGCATACTTAAGAATGTTTTCGTTGTCCTTTGGACCAGATGGCAGAATTCAAGCATCATCTTCCAGGGCAACTATTTTAGTACTTGGGCGACAGATGGTTTGGAAAAGGACGAACTTTAGGATAACAATTTAGCAGAAGGGGAGGGGGGGGGGGTTGAGGGGGTTGAGATTGGCCCTCTAAAAATAAAAGTCATAAAAACAACCCTGTAAAAATTCCCATTCCGGTGAGTGACTGTGGAGACATACTATTTGAAGTTCAAGGAAATTAAGGACACACCCAACCTGCTCGGGTCAGAGGGAGAAAAGCCCCCAAGTCCTGTTTTGATTAGTCCTATTTCTAATGGACTCATTTTCAAAATTATGAATGGTTGAATGAATGAATCTTTAGACTTCTTGCGGGAAAGTTTCATAGGCTTACAACAAGTTCATCTGTGTATGCTCTCTCTCTCTCTCTCTCTCTCTC